TTTAAAGGTCATCTCATCCACCTGCCCTGCAATGAGCATGGACATTGCGCTTCCTTCCTCCAGCCTAGGCACCTCTGAGCCTTTGTCAGACCTAGCACATGCTGAGAACAGTCTCTGAAATCTTCTGAGAGGTGTGAATGCCTACTTAGCACAGAAGGCAACTGCACCTCCTGTTAGGAGAAGCTTGTCAACTCCTAGAGCTCTCTAAGGTTATTCCCACCCCACATTCTCTGTATTTCCTCTGCACACATTTCCATGCAAACACTTTCTCTTCCCATACTTGCTTCTGTGCATATGTCTCCTAGCTGGTTAGAATTTGGCATCCATGTTAGCAAAGAAATACCAACAAAGTCAATTGTGTTTGCATTACTAGTGAGGCAGACAGACTTAATTTTGATGAACAAGGATTTCTGTCCATGACAGAGACTGGTACCTCAGGGCAGTAGCCTCAGGTTTTACTGAGGAGAGCAAAACACAGCAAACTGATGGGGAAGACACTGGCAGGATCAAGTCTGAAAGATGCCTCTGCTAGAAAAAGTCATCAGAAGGAGGTGCCTCAGGCCCCTGGGAGATACATCATTCAGGCTCAGCCCAGATAATACCCATGTAGGAAAAATCTCCTTACTTGCTAAGGTAATCTAAAGTGGGAAAGGATGGAGGAGAATAAAAAGCCAAACAACAGAAGCATCAGGGTCTGTGGGATGAAAACTCCAAACAAACTAAAACAAACAAACAAAAAAAGAGACTGGATTAAAAATAATGATCCAAAATCAGAATTTATCTGTTGAGATCTACTAGAGAAGCTATTTTAATATTGTCTCCCTCACCTTTCTGCCTCTGCTCCTGGAGGTGTCTAAAAGGAATTTAAAAATAAAAATCAAGACAGAATAAAAAATACACCATGAACAAAAGTAAGACTGACCTTTTTCTGTTTCTATGTAAACTTAAAAAAAATACTGGAAAAGGTGCCAAACCATTTTTATGACTCAAAAATATTTCTTCTTTCTTTTTCATGACATTATCTCTTGTTTTCCTTTTATTTACTCATAACACAGCCACAGTTTAAATAGTTTAAATATGAGTTATGTTATTACCTAATCTAGAGTCAGATACCTTGTGTTTCTCAAATCTGATAAAGAAAAGCAGACTTCTCTTAAAGCACACTGTGACTTGAAACACAAGGCTGTGGGTTTGGAGTCAGACATTATTCTTTTTATCTTCCCCAAGGTCTCACACTTGAAAGAAAAAGAAGTCCCACCTCATTCTCTTAGCCGGCGCCACCATAAATGTTTTCAACCACCTTCCCTTTTTCAGCATTTGTTTTACTGATGGGAATTGTGTCCTGCCCTCCTCAAACTAAGACTAATTAGTACCTCCTTCCATTGTTCTAATTTTTTCCAACTTTTTTTTAAGAAGTTGCTCTTCTGTATCATATTTCTTTAAAGGAAGAAAGTCAGTCTTTCATAACAGTTCGTCCTTGTCTCCCTGTGAACACTTCTTTAATACATTGCAAGCACATTATATCTAGACTATCTTTTGACACGGTCAGCTAAAGGTCAGCTGGGGTAAACATCCAAAGCTGGGCCTCTTCCATCTCTTTCACTGAAGAAAAGAATCATCATTTTAAATGAAACAAGCACTGATACTGAATATGCAAACCACAAGGCTGTTCTACACTGTCACACTGCAAGAATCTGATTATTTTGTAGAACCTGGTACAAGTTCATCCACAGAGACATACTTCAGGAGATTCAGCAGCTACTAAAAGCTGAAAAATTCAAGTTCAAAATTTGGGACAGTAAAAAAATTTAATTCTAGGCCTCCTTCATTCATTTTACCTCAACAGCTGTCTTATGCCTGCAAAAGCTCCAAGTGGTCCAGTCCACATCTAAAAAAACTTCTAAAAAATCTCTACTGAACATTTTTGCAGAGCTTTAATGCCAGGTGATCTATTAGTGTTCAGGATTAAGTAACTGCATAATTACTAGTGACAGACATTTACAGGCCTTCAGAAATTTCATGGTCAAGAAAGAATAATATCTAGGATTAATGGCAGTTTGATCTCAATTCTGAGAATCTGAATGTTAAAGCCAAGGATTTTACTGCCACTTTAGACAGGCAGCCTTTTTTCAGGGGAAAAATAGCCCCCAAAGTGTTCTACAAGACAGCATTCCACATCATGTCATGTTTTTCTGAAATTATCAATTTAGCAGCAAGGCATATCTGACAGGACAAACATTTAATAAGGATGCCAAGTTTCTAAATTCAGTATCAGTTAACATCCATCAGTTAACATCATCCATTGTTGAAGTTTCTAACCCTCTTTTGTTACAAGCCTGCAGAACTTGCCTGACTCAAACTGCTCCAGACAGCAGCTTATTGATATTATTTATCCATTAACAGAACTATGAACATCACACAGTACACAAGCCTTTAGAGCTCGGTATCTAAAACAAGATAAGTAGGATTAAAGCATGATTTTTCATGCTATAAAAGCAATTTGTTCCCCAGAATGATGCTTGACTTGAAAGATTAATAGAAGGAAAGGGCAAGGGGGAAAAAAAAGCCAGCGTTCAGACAGTGACATTGTAAAACTATATTCCTATTTCAGGGATGTGAAATAATTCATAAGATAATACAATGTACACTGTTTTCCATATGTAATAGTTTATTCATGCCACAGGACAGATCCAGTTGTAACTAATCAGTGGAAAAGCATAATGCAGTAGCTGCAGAGATAATTCCAACAGCAGCTGTAATTTAAAAAACAAAACAAAACAAACACACACCAAAAACCAGGAAAGTGCTTTCTGTGAAAACTACAAGAGCAATTTCAATTTATAATTGCCTTCCATGACAGGCACAAATGTCTTTACAACAGAATAAAGGCCAGCATTTACAACTTCCCAATGCTTAAAACCTATAAGCAATATTTTTTGCTTTTAAAAAAAAAAAAATCACAAAATTTGTAAATAAAATCCCTGACTAGGAAATCTGTCAGATAAAACTCTAAGCAGAAGCACCCTGACTTGAAGTGCCCACTCTGGGCTAGAAGCAACATCTGTTGTTGGAGCTGGTCTACATACAAATCAGAACTGGGTTCACCAAACCTATAAACTTTAAAGCCAAGCCAAGGGCTACGTGGGCATTTCAGAGGGCAATCCTCTTCAGATGAAAAACCCTGAATCAGAATTCCTGCTGTGATGTTGCTGAGCTATGTGGGGTGAGAATACACAGTACACGGTCTGCAGAGATGTGGAAGGGAGTCTGTAATCCAGGGAGAGAAGCAGCTGGCTTAAAAGCCATTCCAACAAGCACTCAGCTACATCAAGGTGGTTACTCCTGATAGAAATTTCTGCTTCAGAACAGTTCATGTACACAAAGACAAAAAGCATAGGTATGAGCAGCTATACCCTGGGATAAAACCAGCTGCTGAATGACTTGTAGGCTGCTAGAGGCTCCAAGAATGAGACATCTGACATCAGGTATTTAGTTCAGCGCTAACACCAGAAGTACTCAGATTTTAGAGGGGAACTGTTTTCATTTACATTTCTACTAGCATAATTGCTGGTGTGCAGTTCAAACCATGCCTGAGAAGAATAAATCAATACTACTTTCCTTGGATGTTTTGTAAATAAATTACTCCAGAAAATACCCTGACCTTGCTTCATCAATTTCTGTTTTATGGAAAGTGAGCCACTGTCTTTAGGCATTGGCAAAAATATGTGAGTTTGTAGAGCATCTCAAGAGAAAAAGAAGAGCCTGAATAACAACGGACAAAACATATTAAACAACCTGCCCTGACTTATTAACTTGAAACAAGATAGCCACCACCCATAAAGAATATTGGGCATTTTAGGGGTTTTGGATGTTCAGATCTGGGACTTCAGTTTAGGTTCAGAACAGGAATGTTCTCAAGGGTCCAAATTAACAAACCACTTTTTCTTATAATAAAAGGCTCTGGCATAAGAACCATATAATAGATAGTTCTTAGCATCTCACTGGGTCATGCAGTGGTGTAGCAAAACACAGAGAGACTCCAATTCTAGGAAAACTCTGGAATTTTACTGTAGTACAATGGAGGTGCAACATACTGCTTATAACAAAATGCCCATTCCAGGAATTCGTCTGTGCCTCAGAAAAATGTCACCTCAGTGCTCAGTGGATGTCACAAGGTCAAGTGAATGGAAACAAGAAGATACTAGGAAAGAATAAATCTGCTTCTTTCAGGTTTCAAACACCTTGAGAACTCTGCATTTGTAGTTCCCACACTTAAGAGGATGCTAAAATGCAAAAAGACTCAGAGAACACCACAAGGACAGTTCATATGTTCAAAACAATGTCAGTATGAGTAATATTTAAATACATGAGCACTGAGGGGACAGTACAGGACCTCTCCTATGGTGACAATTGGACATGATAGTCACTACTTCTTCTAATACAAGAATTACGAGGCACCAACTACTACTAGTAAAAAACAGGTCCAAGTCAAACAAAAGCAGGTGATTCCTCACACAGGCAAGGCTGGTCTGTGAAAGTACTAAGTAAAAGATGTGGTAGATGCTAGCAGTTTACTGTTTCCAAAAACAGCTGGGCAAATTCATGGTAGAGAACTTTACCAACAGGTGTCAAGTGGAAAAAAAAATGTAAAAAAAAAGCCCAACCAAACAACAAACCAACAACCCACACCCAATACTTGACTTACTTGACTTACAATTCTCCCAGTCATAAAATTGCTTAGGAAACTATTCTGAGAGAACATCACTAAGAATTGTTAAATTCTTCCCCAGATTTTTCCCCAATTAAAGACCATTGCCAATGCACAACAACCTACAAAGACCTTGAACAGTACTCCATTCATTCCTGTGCAGACATCTTTGTTTTTAGCTAACAAACCCTTCTAAACATGAGCATCATTTTCAATGCAATTGCTCATATTTTAATTTCATAATGCTTCACTCACTCTGTCTCTCCCTTGCCCTCCCTTTCTCTCTTTTCAGATTAAGAAAAATCCAGATGGGGTGCAGGTGCTGCAAAATGATACAAAGGTACAATAGAACAAGAGTTGCTTAGACTGAATAAAAGAAAAGCATTAAACCATGTGTCTTTGCTCCCTCACACCTTTTGCTTTAATTAGCCACTGTAAAAGGTTAGAGTTTTCTCAACGCTTACAGCATCTTCAGGTATAGGCATAGAGATTTCCTATGAAAGTCCTTTTAATTTACTGTAATTAAGGTCTGCTTCTATAATTCCTATCCCACAAAAGGAATTGTGTTGCATTGAAAACTCTTCTTCAGTAAAGTTTTTATCTAATTTAGGTAGCATGGGCTTTCCTTAATTCATGAGGAACAAGGAGCACACATTATGTCAGATCCTCCTCTCTCCCAAGCAATGTAAATGAACAACAGCTCCTTGCTTCCATCATAGCTGTTAAATGTAGCTTGCTGGGGGAAGAATTCCCATATCAAAACTCTCCCTAGAGAGGAGGACTAGCTAGTTTTATAAAGACCACATTTCAGCTCCACTTGAGGGTTACTACTTTCCCTTGGCCACTTCTGTAGAACAGGCAAGGAACTAGGGAGAAAATAGAGCTATGAGAGAAAAAAGAAAGATAAAGAAAAGAGAGAGGCCCTGGGAGAGGTAAGTAAAGGAAATTACAGAGCAAGAAGAAGAAAATTATTCTTTGGGGGGGAGCGGGGAGGGAGAAGGACAAAAGACTTGAAAGAACACCAGGAAAAAATGGAACCTATTTTAGCATCTATATGAGGACATATTAATTAACAATCCATTTCATGACTACTCATTGGCTAATCAGCTAATCAGCTCCCCAGAGAAAATAAAAAAATAAGGCTGGAAACAAGCAATGACTAGCACACAGTTCTCCAACATCCTCCTTATGCTCCTGGTGAATCTCAGTACAGGGGTTAGTTAGGATCAGTCCCAGGAGACAGCAGCCAACAGCATATTCAGCATTTCCATTTGGTTTAACTCATTCTCAGGACCCAAGGTAAAGTTCAGTGACACTCCTTTCTCAAGATCTTCAGTTTAAAAAGGAAGCTTAATCTTTTTTTACTAATTATATTGAACATCATAAGTAACATTTCCTTTACAAATTTTTCTTACTCCAGCTACATCTTTGATCCAGAAGAAGTACAATCATCTGGATGCATTCATGAAGTAAACAGCTATAAACACAATGAACAAGGCAGCAATAAATCCAAATTCAAAGAGAACAGTGAAAATGAAGAACCCAAAAATGAACTGCAGAAGGATGAGGTAAACAAAACAGAAAATAAAAATCCAGTCAGCAGTATAACAGAAACTCTCTGGAATCACAGAGGCAATGATTCTCAAGAGGATGGCCTTGTGAAGTGTGCTGCAAAGCTTGATGTTGCAGTCAACGGCGGCAACTCCTGTGCTCAGCACTCCATACCCAACCCCAACACAAGCCCAGTGAAAGAAACCAGTGAAAAGGGAACCTCCAGCCAGTCAGAGGCTTCTCCAGCCAGCAACAGAGACTTTTACACCAAATCAAACAGGTCTGGACAAGAGCTTGACCTAGAGACAGGCAGTCAGAGTAAGGCAGCCAGCAATGTGCCTCACAGTATTCCAGACTCCCAGTCTGCAGGAGACAGCATCTTTCTCAAAGGAAACTCAATACTGGAAAGAGAAAACAATACCATAAGACTGCCAGATATTGATTACCCCCAAAATGGCAATCAAACTGGGAACTATGTTGAAAAGGACAGCTTTTCAGTCAACTGCACACATTCAGACCAAAACACTGGTGCTTCAGCAATACAGGACCAGGACCTTCGTGTAATCCCACCTTGGCCTGTGAAAGAGAGCAGTACTGAACCTTTTAAAACTGACTCTGCAACTCTGAGTGAGAGCCTTACTGCTGGTATCACTGCAGTGGCTGTCACACAGGCATCCACACACACCAACCATAAAGATGTCAATGGAGGAATTGAGGAGGAAGATGCAGAAGTTGCAGCAGCTCTGGCTGCACTGGAGGCTGCAACAGCAGGAGAAGACGTGGAAGATGATGACGAGTACTAGATGGTTTCTTTCTAATACACCAGGAAAGATCCAGATGTTATTTCTGGATCAATATGAACAGATATACAGCACACATGGAGAGCTGTTATGAGCAGCATATATAGAAGGAGTTGGGACTAAACCTTGGTCCCTTCACCTGTTTTATACAGCCTTTTAATTTCTACTGCCTGAGGTACAGAAGACCTCCATTGATTAATGGTAATACTCTTCTCTGGGCCCAAACAAAGGAGGGCAAAGTATAATTTCCTCCACACAGAATATTCAGTTGTACACCCACCTCACCTGCACTCGTGCAAGTGTTTCCTTTTTATCTCATGAGGGTCTGTGCACACTGCATGTTCCAGGTTCACAAAACTCCCATTATTTAAAATAAGACTATTGAAGCCATGGAGTTAGAAACCACATATTTTCATCATTAGCAGAAAAAAACTACATAAATGAGCCAAAGTTCTGTGATCTACTGAAACATGAAATAGGGAAGGCAGCTTGGACTGAACTTTACTGTGGCTATGGTTCCATTATGGATTAAGCCTAAATCTGTGCACGTGCACCTGGCATTGGAATGATAACATCATTTTTCCCCACACACCTCTCCCTTGACTGTGTTTGATACCCCAAGTGTTGCTGCTTCAGTTCCTTAAAACAGCAGAAGTCCAGTCAAATCCAAGAGAGTGAATAACTTTCTGTCAGTTTAATGTGCAAAAGCAGCTAATGTAAGAACTGCACACACACTCTGTCAGAGAGGCCAGAGAGATCAAGACTCATTCCCTACCAGTTTGGATATATTAAAACTGTTGTAAAACAACAGCCTGAAAAGTCTGAACTCAACTAAATTTTACAGGTGCATGTCACCTGTCTTAACAATACAGCTTGCAAACAGATTGTGTCTCAAACATCTCCAGCAAGATGTGTTTTGTTTATATTAAAACAGCAAGAGCCAATGTGGACTCCTCAGCTCCTACAGCTCTGCTGTAGTGCCTAAATTTATACCAGGAAAGGGACCAAGCTTCCAAACTGGATTAAGCATAAAATCTAAAAATAGTTCCATTCTTGGAGGGCTGCATTTCTAATGGGAGAAAAAAAAGGAGGTAGAGACTAATTTGGTGCTGCCAATTCAGGAAAAGTATGGTTGAAATAGAAAGTGCTTAACATTTTATACTGAAATTTTGTGGTTTCCAAGTTTTTGTTATAAACTCCTAATAAATTTTTTACCATATGAAAAATAATCGGGTAGCTTTTTTACTTTATGCATTTTCTGAATATAAAAGTTACATTTAAGACATTCAATAAGATATAGCCCTCATTAGATACATGAAAAACACCAACAATGTATTTGCCTACAGTATATGCTGATTTTGATTTCTCAAAACATTAATGGTACTCCTAGGAGCAATTAAAACAACCTAAAGTCTCAGCTTCTAGAGAACTATATCCAGCTACAGGCAAGAGTCACAACATTGTATCTGTAAAATAAAAAAGCTTTATATGGTTTTAAAGTATTGTAGTACTGTTGACTTCTCTACCACTTTACTATTTTGATAGGCCCTTCTAAGCCTTCTCCTACGTGCATACGAGTTTTACATAACCATTTGTCTTTCAAAGACTGCTACAGTACTGAAAGTGGGTGGAAGCGCCGGCACATTGCCAGTAATGAGTTATGCTGAGAGTGTCACCAGCCCTGACCGTCCCTGCCCAGCCCCATTCACCCCCGGGGGCAGACCTGCCAGCCCAGCCACGGGCCCTGCCGGAGGTGCCTGTGCTGGGGCTGTCCTGGTGCTGCTGGCTGCCCCATGCCCTGGCTGGGCAGCAGGACAGACTGGCTGTGGGATCCAGCCTTGCTATCCCCAGGGAACCCCTACTGCTCCCCACATCCCAGCCCCAGGGAGCCAGCAGCCCCTTGCTGCACCATGACATGAACCATGGAAAACAATTCAAGTAAAAAAGATGTTACAGAAAGAAATGCAACAAACACCCCAGAAAACTTACCTGATTTTTTCAATATTCACTCAATTAGATTTTTCTAACCTGAGCTCCCAGCTCAAACTTCAAGTGCAAATCACAGCAAGTTTCTCACCTTGATCTCCAAGCATTAAAACATATTACAGGAAAGCGCCTATAATCAGACACAACCCAGACAACTGTGATTAAAAATCCCAGTGCAGTTTTTAAATTTAAAAAAAACCAAAAAAACATTTGTATGCATTTTATATTTACATACATACCTTCAACCCTACCATGACAAGATCAAGTGTCAGGAATTGTTAGCTTTTTTCAGATTACAGTACAATTTTCACAATAAATGTGAAAGAATCACTTATTTAATAAATAATTTTTAAATGCCACACACAATTTCCTCCACAAATAGATTTTAAATAACTATGTGAGAACCAGATCTTATTCAGTCCATCAGATGTTGATTCAAATAACGACAAACACTGCCAGCTTGAAGAATCCATTTTGCTACAGCAATTGTGAGAGAAAAATTCAGTAACTTGTGAAAGCAGAAAATCACAGAGAAAAAATGCTACTGGAAGCAAGAGTAAACTGTATTTTAAGACTTCTGTCAAAAACTACATATTTTTTAAAGACACCCAGACACTGTAACTTCAACTACCAATCAACTATGTTTCCTACATTCAGAGGGGTCACTTATGAAGTATCATTTAAGTCTTTCAGTTTTGCTTTGATACAAAAAAAAAAATTAATATGGGAGCTGGTTGGCCAATATCTATCATTATTAATGTTTCTGTACTTGATATAATCCTTAATAGGTAAATGTAAAGACATACGTAGCAATAAAGAACAGGTAACAGGATGGGAAACTATGATAGGAGTTGGTATTTCTATGAAAGCTTTTGCATCTTGGAAGCTCATGTTTTATTTATTATTCTTCAAAGTCAGTAACAATTTAAAGGGAATTTGCAGTCTTTCAAAAGTAAAGAGACATTGAGGAAGACAAAGTTTAGCACCTTCACATCTGGCAGTAGGTCAACCCTGGATTATTAAAAAAATTCAGATCACTGCAGAGATTGCACATACAACTACAGGAGTGGAAAACAGCCCAGCTCATCCTCAAGGAAGTTATTTCCTACAGAAAATGCAGCAGGAGTAGAACCCAAAACTTGACACTGCAGAATTCTTCAACTCAGCAAACAAAGTTCTAACAAGTAAGCAGGAACCTGGAAATAGACAAATTCCACAAAGATGAAGGTGTTTCCTCTCCTTTTAAAGAACAAAGGTAATTGTTTGGGCAAGTGTTGCTATGGAGACTTCCCATTAAAAATTGAAATTCAGAAACAGAAAATCTTATTTTCTAAAAGACATTCCAGATTTGATTGTTTAAGTATAATATCACTTTAATCATCATTTGAAGGGTGAAACAAGAAACAATGACTCGGAAATAAAATTTAAAAACTTAATCTTGACCTTATGTTGCATTTGTAGTTTCAATTTCCTAAATGTGATTTAGTTTTCCAAAAGATTAATTCTTAGCAATGTATCTCATTTTGCTAAATGAGAATACAATATCTCAACATTTACTAAGGTCTGTATATATGGTATTCCACATATTTATTCAAATACCTATATTATACATTTTAATTACATTGAAAGAATGAATCTTAGTAGATTATTTCTCTGGAATTTTGGTATCTCTCCCTCAATGTAGATGGAAATTGGAATCCACTAAATTGCACAAGAGCATCACTTCAAAATTAAATGTATTAAAACTTCTTTAACATGATGAATACACTAATAATTTAAATTATGAAAGTCATTCTACATTAAAAACTAATTTATTTTTAAACAATTCTGTTAATAAAACTTTCTTTCCAGACATTGTGCCCTACAGTTTAGAACACAGATACAGCAAAATGTTTAATACTAATTGTTAGAAGCAGATTAAAATTTTTTCATTGGTCTTTTCAACATGAAATGCCCTTGGCAGAGACTTTTTTTCCTTACCACTGTGAAATCAAAACAGAAACTTCCCAGCTTATTCTCTTGGCCAAGCTTTTCAAATTTCATGCATTCACATGCACTGCTAGAGACATTAATCTTAGGACTCCCTTCTCCATTACCAATTTTACTTAGCATCTCAGGGAGGTTTGTTTTTAAGTTTTCCTTCATCTTGAACCCTCACAATCCCAAACTTCAGCTCAGACAATCCTTGAACTGAACTTGTTGAGTAAACAGAAGGCAGGAAATACTGCCTGCCCCTAAAATGGTACTACTGCTGATCACTTCTGCAAATTCTATCCCACCTCCCTTTGGGACTTCTTCCATTTCAAACTATGAACTGTTGAAAGTTTTGAAGAATCTAAATGTGCATCCTGGACTCTGTAATAAAAATTGAAATAGATTATAGCAAATTAATGCCTTAACATAAGCAGCAATAACTTTTAAAGTGTTTTTTGTTAAATGCCATTTTAACTTGTTTTAATCGTTTAGTCCAATTTCACAACAGAATTTATTACATGGAGCTACTCCCCCACTCCCTACCTATTTCTCCTTTAGTCAGAGAAAATAAATACTCCCTTGTACAACTTAGTTTGGAAAACAGGATTCTCTCAAAGAAGCAGGAAAAACATCACCTCTCTTGATTTTGTTTCTAATCCCATTGTTGAAGTACACACACCTCGCAATGATTGTGATCAAAGCTATCAAGGCATCATTACACCATTCTCTGCTCTGAATCTTGACTGGCATTATTATAAACAGGATTTAACAGGTTTTTGCTTTAATTCATGGCTCAATTACTATACACTAATAACTGTGAAACCCTTCATTCATTAACAAAACAAAAAACCTCAGAAGTCTTTTGGGAAATACAGCATCCCAATATTATGTCAGGTTCAAGACAACTTAAGTACTCAACCAATGCCACAATAAAACACGAAGACAGCAGTTTAAGTCATTTATTTGCTCATTAAGCTCCCTTCTGTTTACTCCAAGCTAGCGATTAGCTTGAATGTTATGAGGGTGCAGAAGCAGAGAGGAGAAAGGCAACACCCTCAGATATCTACCTTAACCTCAAGCATGGCCAGATTTTCAATAATCTGTGATCACATATCCTATCCCCTCCCTGCTCTTAATACCTGGGGCCAGTACAAAGTAATTCACCTAGACTTATGCAAAATGAAAGGAAGGTAAGTGACAAAGGCAAGATAACTACAGAGCAAAATGAAAGAGATTAAAACACTGTTTAGGTATCTGAGGACAAACCATAGGGATCTGGCCAAGAATTAATAACTTAGGTTGTTTCATCTCACATCTGTTTAGTTCTTATTTGAGATCATCTTCCAAAAATAATGCATTAAATAATTTAGGGGCATTCCTCAGATTAGCTTTTTCACAAAATCCTTGGGGGAAAAAAAAAATAAAAGATCCATGCAAATATCCTTAATTTCAATTGTCCTGGTTTCAACTGGGATAGATTGCAGATTAATTTCTTCTCAGTAGCTGTTAGAGTGCTTGGATTCAGAATATAGTGGTTTGGATTCAGAATAAAAATGGCATTGACAATATATTGATGTTTTGTGGTTTTGGGAAATTGTGTTTATCCTAAGTCAAGGACTTTTTTTCTTGTCTTATGCTCTGCCACTTAGGAGGTGCACAAAAGAAACTGGGAGGGAGCAGAGCTGGGACAGGTGGTCTGAACCAACCAAAGGGAGATTGCACACCACAGGATATCATGCCCACTGGGGAGACATTTGGGGTGATGGTGTTTGTCTTCCCAAGTCACTGTTACACATGATGGGGCCCTGCCGTCCTGGGGAGGACAGCAGGGCCCCATCATTTGCTTGTGTGCACGGCTTCTGCTTTCTCTGCTAAACTGTCTTTATCTGTCTTCATCTCAACCCACAAGTTTTCCAGTGTTTACCCTTGCAATTCTTTCCCCAATCCCATCGGTGCAGGAGTGAGCAAGTGGCTGCCTGGGGCTTGGCTGCTGCCTGGGGTTGAACCACGATGTCAATACAAGATACACTACAGAAAGATATTTTGCTGTGGCCAGAAGTAGTACAAGTTTCTCTGGAACAAGTCTCCAGAACAGGAAGTATTACATATTTTTAATGGCACATTTCAGTTTGATAGGTAAAAGTGACATGGGTTTATCTAACCAGCAAACATTATACTTTGCTAGAATAATGCCAGTCTGATTTTGGTTACCTTTTACTCATTAATCTGCTGCTTATGTAGACTTACATAAAAAACTCATCCAATTAGCATCTGCAAAAGCCAGCCATACTAGAGATCCAGCATTAATCAAAATCAAGACAAATTATCAAAAGCCTTACAAAGGAATATGCATACTCCACCCTGACTGGGAATTACTTTTCCAGATTCATGCATGAGTGTTAATTACCAGGCGATGCACGCTGCTATTGTTTTGACATACGACACACAGATCCTGTTCTTCCTCATTGCTTTGATTAAAA